TAGAGCTGTGGGTCGCACCGGGTCTCACAGCACACGGCATCCCCTGCAGATCCTGCGGGAGCACGTCATGGTGCGGGTCGGGGGCGGCTGGGACACGCTGGAGCATTACCTGGACAAGCACGACCCGTGCCGCTGCACCTCGCTTTGTGAGTCCCTGCATCTGGGGTTGGGGGGGGGGGGGGCGCTCCGCCGTGGGTCTGGGTCCCGTTTAACAGAGGGGGAGGCTTCATTCCTGCCCTGCCCCGTTGCTTTCCCTGGTTGTGGGGACTCTGGCGGCTTCGGTGGCCGCTAGAGGTCACGGCAGACTGATGGATGGAGCCGGTCCCCCAAAGCCCCATTGCAGGGAGCATCCCGGAGGGGCCGGATGCTGAGCAGCGGGTGGTGGGGGGGGGGGGTACACCGGGGGGGGGTGCAGGGGCAGCGGTGCTGAGCCCCCGTGGTTCTCCCTGCAGCTCACAAACAAGCCTTGAAGAGCAGGAGCCCGCAGCAGCAAGTGCAGCACGAGATCCGGCTGTGCCCAGCCGCCAAGGGCCGCGGCCAGCCCCAGCCCACCGTGCTGGTCAGCCGCTCGCAGAGCCCCCTGCCCCCTGTCACATGGGGGTGCCGGGTCCCCCCAAGCCCGAGGCCCCCTTCTCCGGAGGGCTCAGGTCACCCAGTGGGTGCCAGCCCCCGCCGGGAGCAGCCCCAGAGGGTCCCTTCGGGCAGGTGAGTGATGAAGGGCCCCAAACCATCCGCTTGGAGCAGTTTTCCTCGCATCCCTGCGTTCCTTTCCCTATCCCTTCTGGATGCGCCCAGCTCCAGGTGGGATGTGGGGATGCAGCAGCTCCCCAGCCCCTCTCCCCTCTTTCCTCTTGCAGGACACGGGAGCCATCAGCTCCCCCTTTGGGACGGCAGCCGCCTCCATCCCGGTCACCCGCTCGATCCGGTTCTGCCTGCAGGGCGCCGAGCAGGGCACCCACCCCTTCCCGTGTAGCCCTCAGCACACAGGGCAGGGCACTGCACGGGAGCACCCCACTGAAATCCCCCATGGCACCAGCACGGGGCAGGCCCAGGGCACCCAGCACCCGGCTGGCACCAGCACCCCCAAAACCCACCCAGCAAGGGGGGAAACTGCCTGTGGAGGCAGCCAGGCCGCAGGAAGGGGGGGTCCCTGCTGTGCTGCACCCCCGTGCCCGTAGCCCCATCAAGGTCCATGCCCCTTCCCCGCACCAGGGTGACTCACAGAGCCCACAGGAAGGGAGATGGGGAGCCCCTGGCCGGGGTCACCCCTTGTCACCCCGAACCCCCCCATCCAGGCAGCATCCGAAACAGGACAGCAGTGTTAAATCCCCTGCCAAAGCCAGCCCAGCCTCCTGCCGGCCCCCCACCCCAGGGTGCAAGGGCTGTGCACCCCAGCAGTGCCACCCAGCCCCAAGCCCAAGGGCTGGGGATGCTGAGGAGCTGGTGGATGAACCGGGGGGAGGCTGTGGTCCTGCTGGGGGGAGTGAGGGGATGCACGCACAGCCCCCAGGCTATGACAAGGTAGTGGAGGAGCTCACCCGTGGGCACCAACCCCTGCGCCCTGCAGGGAGCTGGGTCCCCAGCATGGTCCCACAAGCCGCCCCACAGCCCTCTGTGCCCCCAGATGGGGAGCAGGCAGAGGGGTCAGGAATGGGGGCCCAGACCCCGCAGGCAGCCAGGGCCAGCAGCGTCCCCAAGCCCCGGCGGTGCCTGAAGAAGCCCGAACGCGTGCCCTCCATCTACAAGCTGAAGCTGCGGCCCAAGGTGCGTCCCCGGCGGGACCACAGGCCAGGCAAGCGGCCCTCACGCATCCCCACCCCAATGGGGCAACGGCCGCCAGCCCCCCGGGGTCAGCATCGCCCCACGGGGCTCCCCCGGCACCCCCAGCCCAGCAGCACCCGTGCCATGACCAAGCCATCACTGGCTGACAGCGGTGCCTGGCTGACCGACGATGATGAGGAGGCGTGGGTCTGACCCCCAGGTTTCAGCAGGGTTGGACCCCACACTTGTCCTAAGTGATGCTGGAGCTGTGGTACCCAAGGTTGGTGTGGGAAGGATGGATTTGCTCCCAGGACACCCATTGCTTTTTGGAGCTGCACCCTCTCCTTCCCTATGGAGTTGGTTGTGGATCACCCTGATTGTGCTCTTGTGCTGGTTTTGGGTGGAAAAATCCAGCCCCAGGTTGAGAGAATGGGGCACTTTCTGCAGGGAAGAGTGGTGCAGCTGGCCCCTATGGTGTCCCCATAAAGCGGGGACGCCTCACACCCAGCATCTAGGTGTGCAGACCATCTCATACCTCAGCCTTCCTCATCTGTACAACAGGATCAACAGCAAGAGCCTTAAAGACTGGAGAGAGGGGGTTCAGAGGCATGACCATTGCTGAGCCCCGTGGGCTTCTTTATGGTGGGAGACCCAGGGGGGCAGTGGTCACTTTGGTGGTGATGGTCAGCGTGGTGGTTGTCACCAAGGGTCATCGCCTGCAGCCATGGACCCGTCCATGTTTGTGCAATAGAGACGTACCAAAGCTCTTCTGTTCCAGCATCTTTTCCATATGGGTGGGGAGGGACAGAGGATGATCCTGATGGGGGGTCATGGCGAAGGGAATTCCTGCTGGGGGTCTGTGCAAACATCCCTCTGAGAGCCCCATAGGGGCCCGAAGAGCCCCATGCTCCAAGAGAGGAACAAGCCAGACCCACACCCCTGCAGAGGAGCAGCAAAGGAGAGCACTGGGGTCCTGAGGATGATGAAGCTGGTGGCCAAACTGCTCCTTTGGCAGGGGAGAGACCAATTCCCCCTCCCTGGCCCATTGCCCCCAGTATGAGAGCCGTGACAGCAGGACCCGGTGGCACGGGCAAAGAGCAGCGAGGCGGGTACAGAACAAGGGGACAGACCTGATTTTTAATTCCATTTCCAACGAGGGAGTGCAGGGCGTTACAGGTGGCACAGACACCTCGGGGATCTCCAACAACAGGTCCAGGGGGAAAAAGAAAGCCAAGTCCAGGCAACCGGGACACTCACCGGGGCAGGAGGAGGAGGAGAGAGAAGCATCCTTGCTGGGCTGGACCGAGCCCGGGTACCACACGCACCCATCACCACGCTGGGGACAGCAGTGGGGACATCCTCAGCCTCTGCCAGGCTCAGGAGCAGGTTGGTTTAAGCAGGACCAGGGTGGCTTTGTGTTAAAGGGCTCTTGTAGCTGCTGCTCTGATCCCTGCCAGCCTGGGATGCTCCAGACCTCCCAGCCCTCTTTGTAGCCCTCTTTATCTCGGGAGCTGGGAAATGCTGTCGGAGCAGTGAGTTATTATTACTAATATAACTTTGTCTATAAAGTGCAATAGAATATAACAATTATATTTATAACTTTTTCTTTTTCTTTCTTTTTCTCCAAAATACTAAACAGATGCTATAAAAACCGGTAACTAATTGTGCTATAAACTGCAGGCTACAGGGTTATAACAAACAATGTATTGGTTTAGTCGTTGATATGTGTACATCGGAGCACTTTCCAAATGCTTTATTATTAGCATTTACCAAGGAGTTTCCTTCTCAAACAATTTGGAGGGGTAAAGCCAACCAGAGACCGATAACGTGGATTCACACGTGTCCGTAGATCCTGATGGGATGAGGTCAGGGGCTGTGAGGAAGCCCAGTCAGTTTGCCATGAAGGCAAGGGATGGGGATGAGTGCCACTGCCTGCTTCCAGTCGGGGCTCTCGAGCCGCTGAGCTCCTCCACCACCTTTTCTCTTGGTTTTCCCTTATTTTACCATTGTGGAGCAAGGGGAATGGGGTTTGGGAAAGAGGAGGAGCGTGACCCCAAACCCCGCAGCACTGGGCTGCAGGGCAGCGCATGGGGTATGAAATGCACTGAGTGGGAAGTGCCCCCCAGAGCACAGCGGTGCTGCTGTGGGATGGAAACCTGGAGTGGGGGAAGAGATGGAGCTGGTGTCCTCTGCCAGAGCACTGCTGAACACGTGCATCGCCTGTGTCACACCAGACACCACTGACATGGATCACATCCATGGATCGCATCCATGGATCGCATCACAGCCTCGCACCCTGCTCTGGGAGGTGAGGATGCACTTCTCCATGTCCCAAAGGGAGCCAGAGAAGGAGGCACCACAACACCTCACCAGCACATCCTCCCAGCACCATTTCCTAACAGGAGCTGCCCTTGGCACCAGGAGAAGACAAGGATGCGCTTCAATCTGGTGTAGAACAACCTGGAAGATTAAAACCTAATAACGAGGCCTCGATTTCCTATTAGGGATAGACAGGGGGGAAAAAGGAAAGTAACTGGAGATCAAAGTCCAGGTCCCTATTGCTTTGGAGGATGCCTTCGCACCGCTGCCAGCTCCCATGGATGGAGGCGAGCATCCCGATGGGAAAGCCGGTGCGGGGTGATGGAGTGAGGGGCTGCCCTGGGGACACCGGGGGGTGGTTGGATCCCGCTGAGCCCGGGACACGAGGTAGCGGAGGGGTGACCTGCCCGGCAAGCAGCATTCCGGGGTTATTTGGTGTTCCACAGGCCGTGGGGAGGAGGAGGCAGAAGGGGGACTCGAGGCCCTGGGGAAGCAGCACGCAGCACCCATGGGATGGAAGGGGCAGGATGGGGGCTGTGGTTTAGTGTTTTCCTCCCCCCTCCTCCTTTCTTGCTTTCATCCAGAAATTCCACCTGGAAATCTGACCCAACCGAGCCAAAAGAGAGCCCCTGTGATCCAGCCTCTTGCTGGAGGCTGCTCTGCCCTTAGGAGAGGAACCCCAGTTCTGAAGGGGGGACTCCCAGCTCCACCGTGCCCCAGGGATGGAGCCGCGCTGGGACACAGGCACTGGGCAATTCCCTTCTGGGAGGCAGGTGATGGCAGGCAGCAGATGCCAGGGAAGGATGGACCCAACCCAACCTCTGGGTACCACCGGAGGCATCTCCTTTACCCCCCCATGCCACGCAGCACGTCAGGCACAGCAGAGACACAACCCCCCCAGAACAGCTTTGACCCCGAGTGCCTGGGGAGGGCTCAGTTTAACCATGGTCCTCCCTCACCCCTTGCTCTCTCCAGGCATCCCGGCCACCCTCCTGCCCATGGCATCACCCTGTCCAAGGTGCACTGTCCCCATATGTCACCGCAGGGTACCAGCGCTGGCGGGGCAGCAAACCCCGAGGTGCCTCCAGCACCGCTTCCACCACAGCATCACCCCCATCGGGCGGTGACACCGGGGAGCCGCGGTCCCCAAGGATGGATGGCCACGACGGCACGGCCAGAGGGGTCCACGGGGGCCGGGGGGGCTCACATGATGGTGCATCGGTTCCTGCGCAGGGCGCCCTGGAAGCGGATGGTGGTGTGGACGTGCTTGCAGCGGGCGCAGCCCACGCTCTTGAGCAGCTCGCTGAAGAGCAGCAGGATGTGCCAGTTGTACTTGGCCGAGCACTCGATGTAGCCGCACTTCCACGTCTTCTTCACCAGGTTGGAGACGTTCCAGCGCGGGATCACCCGGCCCCGCTGCAGGTCCCGCTTGTTGCCCACGATGATGATGGGGGTCTCGGATGTGCCGATGACCCTGGGGAGAGAACACAGAAGGGGACAGGGCACAGCGTGACAGTGGGCCCGCGGACCCCAACCCATCCCAAACCAGCTCTTGGCTTTCGCTTGGCAAGAGGGATGCGACTCCTCTTGCCTCATCCCTCTTCGTGGCCAGCCCCGCATTGTGTCAGCCCCAGTTGCTTTCTGCCCTCACCCACAGGTGATACCCACCCGGGGTCATAGCATCCCAGACTGGTTTGGGTTGGAAGGCACCTAAAGCACATCCAGTTCCATGGGTAGGGACACCTTCCACTAGACCAGGCTGCTCCAAGCCTCATCCAGCTCCTTCTGCCCTCAGCTCCAGTTTTGCTTCAGGGCTCCCAGCCCCGCAGAGGGGCTTTGTCCCAGTCTGCAGTATCACATCCCCAGTGCCTAGAGCAGGGAAGCACTGCGCTGCGGGGCGATGCATCCCTACCTCGTCTCCAGGATCTGCTGGCGGATGGTTTTGATGTACTCGAAGCTGTCAAAGCAACAGATGTCATAGACCAGGATGTAGGCATGGACGCTCCGGAGCCCCCTGCAACACACGTCCGCCCACTCCTGCAAGGTGCAGAGAGGGATCAATCCTGGCTCGGCCCCAGCACCATGCCTGGGGGATGCCCCACACTGGGTGCCCACTCTCCAGCACCCATCTCACCTCTGCTCTGCCCTCACCCATCCCTGCGATGCTGCATCTGCCCCCCACAGCCCTTCAGCCACCCCATCTCCAGAGATCCCTTCTTCCCCTCAGTAATCCATAGGAGAGCGAATGGGATTTGCAGCCGCAATTCCTCTCTTGATCAAGGATCGATGCCCAGAGGTCCAGGGGTGAGCTGGGAGCAGGGCTGGATGCACCCCTTGCCCTGGATGTAAAAGCTTCATCCTCCAGAGCTGTAGTTAACCAGGGATGCGCCCTGGCTTGAAGGCAGGGCAGGTGAGGAGGATGCTGAGGATGCATCCCCATCCCTGTGGGTCAGAGGGGGAAGGTGACAGCAGGGCTGTCTGGAGGGGACATGGAGACAGGAGAGGAGCAGTGGCTGCTGTGGGGTCTGTGGGACTGGGAGCTGGGGCAGAGGCAGGCAGGGGTGGCCTCTCCACAGCCCCAGTGTGGAGCTGGAAGGAATGCACTTTGTCAGGGAAGCTTTGGGTTTCCAGAAATAGCAGGATTATTTTTTCCATGCTATAGGATCTGTCCCACTTCCAGCCACTTTCCCAGTGCAGCAGCAGTGCTGGGAATGGCAGCCCATGCTGACAGCACCACAAACCCTCCTGAGCACCACTGGAGATGCACCAAGGAGGAAAGGCATTGCTTCTCCTGAGCAAACCTCTTTGGTACCATGAATCATCCCTTGCTGGGTTTATCACTGGGATGATGCAAAGCAAGACCTAGGACTGAAGGGAGCTGGGGAGAGGGAAGTTTTGGGTGCAGGTTGGTCTCCATCACAGACTGCAGCAGGGGAAGGAGCTGGGACACCGAGGGCAGGAGATGCTGTGCAGCTCCTCAGTGTCACAGCGGTGCAGGCGGATGGAGCAGCAGCATCTCTCGGTCCCGATACACCTGGGAGACCCATACGTTGCAGCCATTCCGGGGTGCAGCTCGCTCCAGTGCTGTGATGTCAGGATGGTTTTCCTTGTGTGGGCAGCTTTTCCGGGATGCTCAAGGCTGGAGGAGGCTCCCATGTGGGAGCGGGATGCTGGGGAGCCACTAGCAGGGATGCTGCTCCTGGCCATGGAGCCTCCCAGCAAACAGAGCCGTGTATCCCCCACCACAATCCTCTTCTTTGCCCTCGGAGCCATCCCTGTGCCCAGCCTCTCTTCCCAGGAAACCTCCATCTGCTCCCACCGGCTGCATCCTCTGGAGCCCAGCGAGGCAGGGAGCCAATGGAGTGTGGCAGCATCACTGCCGTGTCAGTACATCACCCTTTGCTATTCCGGGCTGTATCTCCCACTGACCTGTGGTTCCCTGCACACATCGATTCATCCTAAACCTCCTCGTCCCCCCTGGAGCTCCCACGTCACCTCCCACCTGGCAGCACAGGGCAGGAGCACTACAAGGCCCCATAACCCCATCCCCATGGGGCACTGGAGTGATATCATTACACTGATTAGATGTAAGAGAGAGCCCAGCTCCTATGGAGGTGCCCCATTGCCCTCAGCCATGGCTTCTTTCCCCACAGCAGCGGCACAACTTGTGCGCTATGGCTTGAGCCTAAAATCCCCTTCTTCCCCATTAAACCCCCTTGAAGCAGCACTGGTGGCAGCGCTTTATGACCCCATGCAGCCTTTTGGGGCTGTTCTGGAAGCACCTGAGGGGGGCTTGGGGAGGTGCTGGTGGGCTCAGTGCTCAAGAGATGTGTGGGGTGACAACCACACCGGGAGGGGATGTGCAGCCCTGCTCTACCTGGCATGGGCAGTGCATGCATCAGGGTCTGGATCTCCAGGAACCCCTGGTTCTCTCCTGAATGCTCTGGCCGTGCTCCCCAGCCCTTTGGTGGTGCCAGCTCTGACTGGGATCCATCACCCAGCTGGATGGGACCACGGGCATCGTTAGAGGAACACCATCCCTCCCACATTTGCCATCATTTTAGGTGAGAAAGCCTTAAAAGACACATTACCCATGGCCCGCTCAGCCAATAGCCATGAGGACGCGATCCCTCACACCAACAAGCACAGGGAGAAGCATCCCCTGAAGAGAAGGACCGGGGATCCCAGAGGATTCTACAGCACCCCCCCCATAGCGCTCAAGCCCCCATCCCTACCTGCAGGGTGTTGACGGGGAAGGCGGTGATGGGGGGGAAGTCCATGATCTGCAGGTCGTGGACGTGGCCGTTCATGACGACGGCGGGCAGGTAGACGCGCCGGGCCGTGGTGGGCACGCAGACCTCGCTGAACTCGTTGTAGAGGAACTGCCGCACTATGGCACTCTTGCCCACGCCCTGCGCTCCCAGCACGGCGATCTTGACCGTTGCCACCATGCCGCCGCGCGCCGGCCGCTGCCCTGCTGCTGCCCCTGCGGTGCCGAGGCTGCATATTCCCACGCAGGGGGCCTCAGCCCCATTCAGGATGCATTTCCCCTGTCACTGCCAGGCCAAGGAGGAGATGGTCAGATCCCAAAGGCACCCCGGGCGCACCTGCAGGTGATGCGTTTCCGATGGGATAGGGTTGGTTTGTCCTCGGGGAGCAGGAGCTTTGGGGGATTTGGCACTGCAATGTCCCCCCTCGGGGGGTCCCACCCCGCAGAGCCAAGGATCTGGGTGAACTCCATCCCAGGAAGGAGCTCCATATTCAGCCCTTTCGGTACCAGAGCAAGGAAACCTCTAGGAAAGGGTCTGTGTGGCTCAGGGTTTGCAGCACTGGGGGCTCACCCCACAGCATCCATAGGAACCCTCACTGACTGCTCCATCCCAGTGCTGCCCCAAGCCAGGGAATCCATCTTCGCTCCGCTTGGACAGCTGGAATTGCCTTTTGCTGGGGCAGGGGGGGGGAGATCGCTCTGTGCTGCGACAGCTTTAATGTTTAATTCCAGGCTCTGAGCGGTTTGGCAATTAACTTGATGGAGGCTAATTCCTGAGCCAGCTGACGGGGTGAGCCCACGAGCTGCTGGCACATGTGTTGAGGCCAGAGAAACTGGGGCAGGGGGGGACACAGGGTGATGGCCCACACGTTAAGGATGAAGGAGCAGAGTCAAGGAGCCCAAACACCCACTGGTCCCAGGTTCCCAAGCGGGGGCTACGATGGAAACAATGAGGGTGAGGGGCTGGGTCCCGCTTTTGCTTGCTCCCATCATTAGGAAGTGGCTTGTGCTTAATCCCAGAGTGTGGATGCTTTCAGCAGCGTGTGATGCTCTGGTCTGTTGTCCCTGAAAACCATCCCCAAAGCACAGGGCAGCGGTCCCTGAGCTGGCAGAAAGCAGCAGGTTCAAACCACCCTGTCCTGACTGCTTGGTGGAGGTGTTTGCCCCAGGGGAGCTTGGATGTGGATGTCCTGGCTGCTGGGATTGCCGGGCTTCCTGCGGCCCCCCAAGCTGGGCCATGGTGCCCACCATCCCTCACCCTCCTCACAGCAAGGCTTGGGGCTGGCAGGGCCTGACCCAGCCCCAGGGCAGCAGCAGGTCTGTGCCCTGGGCAGGGCACCACTGCACATGCATGGCACATGGTGCCGGGATCATCCCCTGGGGTGCCGCTGCCCTCGGGGACCCACTCACCCCAGCCCCAGGAGTGGTTCCATAGGGACACCGGGGTGCAGGAGCCCCCACACCGGCCCTGCTGGGGCCTCTCTCCACCCGCAGAAAGCACTGTCATTGCAAGTCCCCGGGGGCCACCCTGCTGCAGGGACAACCCCTCAGCACCCCGCTCCAATGCGGGGCTGGAGGGCGATGGAGACACAGCCGACACCCGGCGCCCCGGAGCGGGCTGAGGACACCCCCAAAACCCCGTCCCCCTCCGGGCTGGCACCCGGGGGCCATGCATGAGCCGAGCCGAGCCGGCCCCAGGACGCTTTTGCGCCCTAAAGCATCGCACCCCGACCCGCCTGCCTCCGTGGGAAGCCGAGGAGCGGAGCGGGGATGCGGTGGGAGCGGGCGGCGAGGGGGAGGCTGCCCCGGGGAGGGGACCCCGGCCCCGGCGCGACCTTGGGCAAGCGCTGCCCCCCGCAAGCCCTGACCCCGCAGCCGGGGGATGCTCTCCGCGGCGGCAGCGCAGCATCCGCGGCACCGGGGCGCTGGGGCTGGGGGAGCTCGGGGGGTACCGGGGACAAACGCACCCCGCAGGCCGGCGGGGATGGGGAACCGGGGAGCACCGGAGCTCAACTTTCGCTGGGGACCCCCCCCCCCGGACCCGGCTCCCCCCAGGCCCCCGGCCCTACCCAGCGGCAACTTCGCCCCTGTCCCCCCCGTCCCCGTTCCCGGTGGGTCCCCCCCTACCTGGCAGCAGCGGCCCGGGCCGGCGGCGCCCCGGCGGGCGGCGGAGCCATGCGGCGAGCCCGGAGCGGGGCGGGCGGCCCCGCTGCAGAGCCCCGGCCCGGCCCGGCCCGGCGCGGCGATACCGAAGGGCCGGGCGGCGGCGGGGGAGCCCGGCCGGGGCACGGGGCGGGCGGTGCCGGCGATGGAGGCAGCGCCCGGGGGGAGGCAGGCACCGCTCAGGCGGGGATGCAGGCGGCGATGCTCGGGAGTGATGCAGGCAGAGCCCGCGGAGGGAAGGGAGGCTCTGCCCAGGCGGGGATGCAGGGGATGCCCGGGGAGGGATGCAGGCAGTGGCCAGGCAGGGAAGGAGGCAGCGCTCGGGAAAGGAGGCAGGGAATGCCCAGACCGAGTCGCAGGAAGCCAGGAGGGGCACAGCGGCTTCTCCCGGGGCTCTGGGGAGGTGCCGATGGGAAAAGACCCTCCCATGTCCCCCCTGCAGTGTGCTGGGTGCAACACCCTCAGCCTTGCCCTCCCCGGCGCCCAGCAGTGTCTGTGCCCTCATGCCCGATCCGTGGGAGCCCCCAGGGCCAGACTGCTCTGAGGACGGGGGTAGGACCCGACCCCTCCCCTCCTCTGACACCGCTGCTCCTGTGCTCTCAGGCACATCCCCTCATCCCCAGTGCGCCAGGCCCCTGGGCCGCTGTCCCTGGGTGCTGCCAGGCCCCACCAAGGGAAGGACACTGCTGCTGCCGTTCCGGGACACCCCACAGCACGCATTTACCTGCAGGCCGGGCAGTGAGGAAGATGCTGGCCACAGCTCTGGGAGCGTGGTGCCGGCCCTCAGGACACGCTGCCGATGGGCTCCCTGCAGCTCTCTGCTCCTCGAAGGTCCCCGCTGCAGGTCCCCCTGACACCACCAAGCACCAGGGTGTCCCCACGGCTCTGGCTGCGGTCACACAGCCTTGGCTGAACCCAGCACCGGCCACAGCACGGCTGGGCTCCTTCCAGCCTCATCAGCACCGGCAATAACATCACCTCCAGGGGGGTCTTCTCCAGGGTGAGGAGGGGGAACACACTGCCATACCCTTCCTGGGGGAACGGGGACAGCAGACACAGCCCCAGGGCGCAGGGGGACAAGGGCAAACCCCAGGGCAGCCTTTGTGCCAGCCCACACCTCAAAGGGAGCCGGAGCCCCTTCGTGCCTCACATTACACCCAGCCTTTCCATTCGGGGCTTATTTCGCTGTGGAGGTGCCTGATGCTCACAGCTAGGGAGGTATCGATGCATCCCTCGGGGTTATCACCGGCCCTAGGTGCTGCTCTGCTTCCCGAGCTCCTCTCTCTGCATTGCCATAAAGCAGCCCGGAGCCCTGGAACATAGCTGGGAAAGGGCAGGGATCGCGGCTGCACATGAACCCTCCTGCACAATCCAGCCTCGGGCTATATTTAGCAGCTCTTCACTTGCAGGTTTATGTGTGAAATTTAATATAGGAGGCAAGGGGGAGGGAGCGGGGCTGGATCCTGGATCCCGGCGCATCCCCACTGGCTGCGAGCTTTATCCGACGCAAACCTAAACCCATCCATCAAAGAGCTCCCGTGTCCCGGCACGTGGGCAGCCCTAAAACCCTCTCCCCGTGCTGCATCATGAGCTCGGGGACCTGCTGGCACCCGGTGCTGGTCCTTAGCACATGTACCAGCATGGAGCAGGATGGGTGCAAGGAGCAGCAGGGGTTGGGGGAGCCCATCCAGCACAGCATCTCCATCCAGAGCACCCAGGGGTGCCTGCCCCACAAGCGTGGGCCTCAGGAAGGGTTAAGGCTGTAGGGATCAGGCCCATCCATCCCTGTGGCAGCTCCCAGCCCAGGGAGCGCTGGTGGCCCCTGAGCTCCCAGCACCACAGGCTCATGCTGTTATGAAGCAAACCCAGTCTGCAGGGTACAGGATGGCCTGGGGCTGGTGTGTCCCTGTTCATAGGAAATGAGCCTGCTGCAAATCCCTCCCCAAGGAACCTCTGCAGAACAGGGAAGGAGGCAAAAACCTTTCCCTTTGCCATGGGATGTGAAGGGGACAGCAGCCAGCCCAGCCCAGTCCTCAGCATCTTGTACCAGCTTTAACTGGGCCAAATGCTTCCCAGGCTCAGCCCCAGCTCCACAGCAAGGAGCAGACCCTCAGGGGGCAATGACCACCCCACCCCATCTCATCCCAGGCACACAAGGGATGCATGAAGGGACACAACGGCACCACCAGTGACCCCAAACCAGCCTCTCACTGCTGCTACAGACATACGCCAGCTTCTAACCCCAAACCACCCCACCACAGAGCACCCCAGGCCTCATCTCCAAGTGCCACAAAGGCAAGGCTGGGCAGGGCAAGGGATGCAGCTGCTCTGCTGCTTGTGTTGTTGCACTTCTGCCCAGAGCTTGGGGCTCTGCAAAGCGCAGGCTTTGGAGCCTGAGACAGCACCAGCGATGGGAAAACTCTATGGAAAACACCAGCACCAGGCTGGAGCAGTCCAAATGCATCGACTGTCCTGATTCCATCGTTTCACTGCAGGCAAAGCAGGTCCATTACACACAGCCCACCTGGGGCCCAGCAAGGGCTAAATGGGTACATCCATCTCCTGTGACAAGGTGCCAGTGCCCCCTGCAAGCAAGTGCCCTTTTCCTGCTGCCTTTTGAGCGGTGAAGAGAGCAGCAGGCAGAGGCAGAGGACTGAGGGTGATCGCAACCTCCCCGCCCTGAAAGCCCGTTTCTGGGGGGCTCTCCATAGAAATGGCTGCTGCAGTGAGGGGGAAAGGCTCCAGGGAACAAGCAGCCTCCTTCTCACCGAATGCAGCCTTCAGCCCTGCCTGCTCCCACAGGCAGTGCCACAAGCACAGGACGTGGGTCCTGGCCCCAGCCCCACAGAGCCACGCACAGCCACAGCATCGTGGAAATGAGTTTATTGACACGGAGGGCAGGTAAAGCCTGAAGAGCAACACAACCACGCGGCCAAGGCTTGGATGAGCAGTGCGGTGGGAGAGGGCAACCACTGCGGGAGCCCAGGCTCTGCCCTGCAGTGCAGACACCCATGCATGCACCCAAAAAGCTGGGAAATCAGACAAGAGAAGGGGGTGCTCAGCAACCCCTCCTTGCATCAAAGCTACACCCTCCTCCCTGCCCCAACACAGCACCACACTCGGTGCCACCGGTGCTTCCGTACTTGCTCTATGAATGGCTGTTGCAGGATGCTCTGCAAATCACCTCCAGCACACACAGGCAGGGCTCAAGGGCTGGATTGCTCCAGCTCTGCCCCACTTTTCCCCCAGCCAGAGCAGAGGGGTTCCTAACACAGGGACATCACCTTCCTTGGGGTCCTGCAGCTCCAACCGGAGCTCCTCAGCTCCCTGATGGAGTCTCTTCCAGGGCACTGTAACCTTTTCCCTGCACTGACTTCCTGGCTGCAGACAATGTCAAAGCCCTGATGGACTATCTCCCACCATAAAGCACGGATTGACTTCAAACGTGGCATCTAAAGAGGCAACATGGGGGTTGCTATGCGTAGGAGCTTTGCTTGCTGAGGAGTAGATGGCATCAATGCATGCTGGGGAGGGCAAAGCCACTCTGGTTAGTGATACAAGCAGGACAAGCTATGAACGGAGCAAGGACATGCAAGAGGCTTTGCTTTCACTGCTGCTGCTGCAGCACTTAGTGGTTGCAATGTGGCAAGTCCACAGCCATGGACTGGAAAGGGAAGCAGTCCTGGCCCTAAGGAGAGGCTGGAAAGAGGGACCAGGGTATGGGGCTGCTCAGGACAGGGGGTGAGAGCAGGAATCAAAACGGCCTCTGTGCTCCCATGTGCCTCTGGGCACAAAGAGCCAAGGTGCACATGGAAAAACACTTCCACCATCTGCTAACTCAGCCCAGCCTGAAGGCCGCAGGCAGGCAGGGAGCAAACACCATAAGCCCAAAGCATCTCCCATCACACCATGGCCTGGGTTTTGGGGGACAGCACAGGGAGAAGGAGCTCTGCTCCCTTTGGCACCCGAGACACTGCCAGCAGCAGCCCCCCTGTGCAGGGGCACAGCTGGATTTACCCCCACGAGCCTCAGGGGTTAGCGCAGCGCTGGGTGAAGGTGGCACAGCTCAGAGGACAGCTGAGAAGGCAGTTTGGCCATAGCAGGCACGGAAAGCACAAGAAGAGGGGCTGCAGATGGGTGAGGACGCAGAGAGCACACCTGGAGCTCTGGGAAGAGCCTTTTGCTCTTAGAGTGGGCTCTTTTCCTTCATTTCATCCACCGTTGTCCTGTTACCAAGCCAGGTCTGCAGCTTCTCCCCACACAAAAGCAGCCTCACTTCTCCAATCAGCAGCTAATGAGCCAGGGAGATGGTTGCAGTGAAAACACCATCAAAAGCAGAGCTGAAGCTGTCAGCACGAGTGTAATAAAAAACCCCTCTGTAGGGCTCCATCCGCCTCCAGGGACCAAACTGATGGCTCTGTTCCTAATGCCCCGAGGCTGTGCTCACCCTGTTAGAGCCTGACATCCCTGCAAAGCTCCCCCAAGACTTCCTTGGAATCACCTTCCCTTTTAGCCAATTCCAATAGAAAAACTCAAAAAAACCAACCCAAAAGTATAAAAATAGAAAATAAAGTGCAGTGTTACGTTTTCGACACTTTTCGCCTTGTTTTAATGAGCCGACGGATGGGTTTCTGCTTGTTTCTTTTTTCCCAATGAGTTTACAAAACGGGACCTACGCCTAAAGCCATTTAGAAAACACTGGACATTGGCACAAGATGGAGAAGCCCACGAGAACAGACAAGGAGTGAGGGGCGAGGGGGACGTGGGAGTAGTTGAAGCAGTGGTTACAAACTCCATGGACGCTAAAAATACCAAAGGGGTTTGTTTGCTATCATCGTTAGCACGTGGATACTAATTGCTACCTTGAATCAGTGCCTTTGACTGACATCCTACACATGAATACAGCTGCTTCCAGTTAAGAGTGCTTTCCCCTGCGCTAGTGATGAAGGAGGATCTGGGGACCCCTTTCTCCCGGCCTCCTTCCGCAGGGTGAGGCACAGGCTGAACTCCTGTTAGTTCTTCAGGATGGCATCGTAGGCCTGGTAGATGTACTGGGACACTTCGGGAGCTCGGCATTTCAGGGAGAGCTGCAAAGAGGAGAGGAGAGGTCAGTGGTGGTGCAAGGGTAGGCAGGAGCTCCCTACCATCTCCAGGAAGGCAACTGGAAACATCTGACCTACCGCATGGGTTGCACACATCATGGATGTGGCTGATGGCAGTCAACATGGATGTTTCTGCTTCATCACCAAACTGCCTTTTCAGAGCTTGCTACAAGCAAGAGGAAAGCAAACTCCCACTGTGGGCTTCCCAAGTTCCTTAACAAACGTATGCACCTCTGCACGCATGAAGGAAAGGGATGATGCCCCAAATCTGAGACAAGGGACTTGCTTGCTCTCATGCTGTAAGTCACAGCACTAAACCTGGAGGCTCAGTCCTGATGGACACAAAGTTGGCTGCTGTCAGCCCTCTCTAAGAGGCAAGCATGAGGCCGAGA